TCAATTCCACCCTTCTAGCCTAACCTCTGCTGCTCCTGCAGCTCCTGGGTTCTTCACCCCACTCTTCCAGGTCCAGGGGGTAACAGCAGCTGGTTCCTCCCTTTCCCCCTTGTCAAGTCTGGTGTTGTAGGGTTGGAGGGAGGGAGCAGGCTGACCCATTGTTCACAGCTGGGCAGAGGGAAGAAGGGAGTGGAACTGCTCTGAATTGCTGAGAGCACTTTCTGCTCCCTCAGGTGAGAATGGAGTGGGCTGGTGAAGAGAGGGAGACAGCTCTTCCTGCTTTATGCAGCAGTCCTGGCTGGCTGCTCTTCCCCAGAAAGCAGCAGGCAAGTGGGGAAGGCAGCCATTCAGAGCAGGTTTGCACAAGAGAACTGGAGCTGTTCACATGATTGCCAGGCTGACTTGAGCCCCGGCTGAAATCAAGTGACTCTCAAAGAAGTCACGAGAGTTATGAACACTGGCACTGCTATCTCAGGCTTTCATAATTGGTGCCTTGTGCTGCCTTCCCACCTAAATGATCAGCTTCTGTGCTGAGCCCTCGGTGCTACTGCTGCCTGCCTTCTCCTGAGTTCTGTGTGCTCTAACCCAGTGTGTATCAACTCCAGTTCCAGAATAGCAGTTAAGAGACACGGATCTGGAGCAGTCCAAACTCCATGGCAATGGACAGCACATAAAGTTGAGACAGTGAGCCCTAGCGAGTCTAACTGGTACCGCTGAGGTCTTAGCCTGGTGAGCTGCTATATGGGTTGGGAACAGCTGGTACAAAGGGTTTTGTGTGTGGCCCATTTCGCTTATTCACACTCTCTCCTTTTTTTTTTTTTTTTTTTTTTCATTTACACAGTTTGTAAAACCAGAGTGGCCCATGGAACCAACTCTCATGAGGTGAGTAAAAGAACTCTGGGGCTTCAGTCAGCTTTATCCCCTCACTTGTAATCCCCTCCTGACTACTTATGGGTTGGCTGGGAGCTCTACTGTGCAATAATAGAATGATTGTTATCCCCCAAGCTACTTCCCCTCCCCCCTTACATGTCCTTACTTCAGATACCTTTTGTAAGGTTACTTGGGCTCAGTTTAAACAGGGCTTATCACCCTTTAGCAGAAATTCCATCTCTTGCAGCAGAGTGAGGCAAGAGCCGGGCTTGAGGCCTGCCTTCCTTCAGTCTGCCTTTTGGTGGGAGATCAGGCCAATTGGGTCTTCTTCCCCCTCACCCCCTATGTCTCTGCTCCATTGTGTGGTGCTGATGATGAGAATTGGTTCTGAAATGTTGAGCTTTTGCTCCTCTGTTTCCGGGTAGAAGAGCTGCCCAGCTTCTTCTCTTCAGTGAGATGGTCATGGGGAGAAGATGGGTGAGGAGAAGCTGCCCTCTCACACTCCTCTTCATGGGAGGGGGAAGGAGAAGGGAGAAGCAAGTAGGGACAGAGCCACACATAGGCTCAGTTCTCTTCATGAGGTGGGAAGGGAGAGTGGAAAGGATTGGGCTGGGACAAGCACCTCCTTCCCCATCCTTTCTGGGAGGTGGCCATAAGTGAAATGACTGTATTCCTGCGGTAAGGTAGTCTCCTGTGCATTTAGCTGGCCATAAATACAGGGAACCTGAGGTGAAGCACCTCCACCTTTTCCGGAATCTTGGGAGTAGAGGTCGAGAAACCCTGTTTCAGCTCATTCACCCGTAGCTTTCCTGCCTCCCTCCTCCTCAAAGCCCAGTGTGAGAATCCAGGCCCTACTCCCTGTGAATAAATATTTTCTTCAGTTCGTTCTTTCGTTCACAACTTGTCTATGGCCACATCCAAGTTTCCCAGCTCCTTCTAAAATCTGCTGTGTTACTACAGCACCTTCGAGAACAAAGGGCCGTGGAGTGAAATGCAGCTTGAAAGGAACAGGGTGCCTGTTGATACAATGAGGAGTGACCCATAGTCACCGTTAAAGAAATCATTATTTTTCAGTTGGACCATGAACCCTCTTTTACAAAGACAAGGCACATAGGTCCCTTAATTAGTTTAATTAAGGGACTGACTGATAGCTGCTGGCCACTCAACTTTTCAGATACTGTTCTGGTGGAGATCACAATCCTGTGACCCTGCGCTGGTTCTCCTATAACTACCACCTGAAATGCACAAAGTTTTCCGTGCCTAATGAGTTAGCGTGGACATTCATTGCTGTGATGAGCCCCTCTTTGCAGTTTTCATGAAAAGTACTTATTTAAGTTTTCTGCTAGAACCCCAGCATCTGAAAGATGTGATGCTCAAATAGAGTTGTACTGCTGTGGCTTTTCATGGGAGCTGATTATTACTGCACAGGTTGGTGTCCTCAGCGATGCCTGAGGTCCTGCATGACACTTCAGTCCCTCTGGAGGAGAACCATTCGTGAAGTTGCCATGTTCCCAGGGGTAGTATTAGGGCTCATTTGTCTGATAGACGACAATCTATCCTGTAAGAGCCACATGTGAAGAATGACTGCTTGAGAAACATGGAATGTTGTGTTTGTTGAAAGCTCCTCGTGTGAAAGCAGCATGTCCAGTGCCTTGAGCACAGGACTGGAAGCAAGTAACTGTAGTTCAGTTGTCCTCTCTGTGGCCTTAGGCAAGATGCTTAACTTCTCTGTACAGTATTGGGGTTGTGCCTAGAGACCCCATTGAACTTAGTTACAGAAGCCTACTTACACAGGTTATTAGCATGTGCATATTGGATATGTGCTGCCAAAAAGATAGCATCTCGTAGAATAATGGTAGAATAAAAAAAATCAGTTTGAAATAGGCATTGGCTACATGCACTAACTTGCACTCAGAAAATGTTAGAGAATCTCCTGATTGTGTACGCATGCAGAAAATTATGTGATCTCATATGGTGTGCCTGATATAGAAGAGAACAGAATAATAAACAGCTAGATAGAGACAAACATGTTCTCAGCCCTTTAGTCATAAATGTATAGTCATCCCATTTCTTATTTGACTAAAAGTATGACTTTTTGTTGAAATATTTATCATCTTATTATACAGGAACAAACTAGAAAGCGAACATGATTTTAGAAGAAGCCCCACAAACTAAGAGTACAACATAAATCAAATTGACAGGTACACATAGAGGAGATAGAAAGTGTTCCATGGTATGCAATTTGTAAAATCCCTCCGGTTATCCTGACTTTGCTGAGATCCAGCTAATTGTAGAAAACAAGAAAAGAGGCAGAATTTATGGACAGAAATGGCTATCTTTGAGAGGGATTCAGAGTCAGAGCTCATAAGCTGTATTCTGAACTCTGCCATTGTGACCTAGGACAAATCACTTAAACTCTCTGGGCATTATCCTGGACCAATTTGAACTCAATAGGAAAACTAGTAGTCCCTCTTCAAAGTGACAAGATCATGGATCACTGCACCCGGGTCTTTGCCCACAAAGAGAGGGCATAGCCTTCAAGCTAATTAAAGGATTGAATAAGCATTTCTGGTCAGTGACTTAATCAGGGTGCCCAAGCATGGAACTGTGTATTATGTGATGTGGATTCTGCTGCCTCTTCAGAGTGTTTTCTTTTACCCATCAGCATCACTTCCATCTTACATGGGCTAGGTTTGAGCCAGCCGCTGTTCATCGTTGAACCCCTAAATTACTTTCTCTGTGGCATATTTCTTCCAGTCCCTGTGTCATTCATTTAAGGGGGCTCTACGCTTGGGGTGATGGGTTGAAACTGAGCCAAGGCAAATGTTGGCTGAGCATTTTCCAATAGTGAGGGTGGTTAGACTCTGAAAGAATCTCTCACTGAAGGGGCAGAAACCCCAGTTGCTTGGGAGATTTAAACCTGAACCGAACCAACCCATTAAAAAACAACTGTAGGGAACAATTTTCATTGGCAAAGAGGGTCAGGATGACCTAATACATCTATTTCTTCATATCTCGGACTTCCTGCATAATCTGATGGGTATTTTCCAGGTTCCGTCACTCAGATATTTTATTGATTTTAAATTAAAAATCAAATTGGGATTGTTGCATAACTAACAAAGATAAAATGCCATTGTACATGTTAAAAAGAATCTTAATTTAAAATGATATGTGCAACTGAAAGCCACGCTGATAACACCCTCAGAGATTTAGACTTATTGTAGCAGTAAAGTAATAAAAGAGAAGCTAGCTGCTGAAAAGGGATTTGCACTTGGTTATTATCCCTGGATAGATTTTCCCCCACATCACATGTTTCAGCCAGACAACAGAAAAAAGTGAAATAAATGAAAGCCCAAATCCTTGTGGAGAACTGTGTTTGCATTTTGTGTTTCAGATGGCAATCATATTCAACCAGGAAGGCCTGAAGGCCATCCAGCCTCCCTGCGTGATTCAGAGCTTCATCAATCACAACGCTGTGCTGTATAAAGTGTTTGTGGTCGGGGAGTCCTACACTGTGGTAAAAAGACCATCTTTAAAGAACTTCTCGGCAGGCATTTCAGGTAAAGTACCTGTGCGCCAGCTTAAATGCTAGCATGAGCTCAGAGGCCCGTGGCAGCAGAGATCCTGAATGAAAAATGTTTTTGAATAGGCTGCTAAAATTAAAGCATCTGCTTTGTACATGCTGTATTTCCTCCTCTGTGTTATTTCGACAGGAAGGAAGATAACTCATCTGCTCTGGAATACATCTGAACAGAGTTCTTATAGTAAATGTTTATGTGAAATTAACCTGAATCTTACCTATTGAAAGCTGGGTTTTATGTCATTGTGGAAGTGGAGAAAGCTCCTTTACTAGAAACTCTCTAAACACTCAGTAGGTCCATTTGTCATTTGGTCTTGAGTTATAATTGCAAGATAAAGGGGAAATTCCTGGATTCCATCATTTTGGAACTTCCTGTCCCTGTCTTTGTCTTGTTCATTTTTTGTTTGTGTTTAAAGTAAGAGGAGTTGAGTTCTCCCATGCCAGAGCCTCTTGGTTTGTTCATGTAATGGCCAGTTCTTGAAATTCTCAGGGGAAATACACTTGATCATTTTCATTTGGTTCTAGTTGGCAACTATTTTTGAGATAAGCGGAGTGGAGCTGCTGAGCTAAGGTCCTCCTGTAGTTATCAACAGGTACGGTTATAAATCAACAGAGATCATTTGAAGGGTGTTAATTGAGTCTGCTGCAATTTCCTTTTTGGAAGAAGAACAGCTTTCTGTTGTGAAGCCTGAGCCCTGGTCTACACTAGGACTTTAGGTCAAATTTAGCAGCGTTAAATCGATGTAAACCTGCACCCGTCCACACAAAGAAGCCCTTTATTTCGACTTAAAGGGCTCTTAAAATCGATTTCCTTACTCCACCCCTGACAAGTGGATTAGCGCTTAAATCGACCTTGCCGGCTCAAATTTGGGGTACTGTGGACACAATTCGATGGTATTGGCCTCCGGGAGCTATCCCAGAGTTCTCCATTGTGACCGCTCTGGACAGCACTCTCAACTCAGATGCACTGGCCAGGTAGACAGGAAAAGAACCGCGAACTTTTAAATCTCATTTCCTGTTTGGCCGGCGTGGCAAGCTGCAGGTGACCATGCAGAGCTCATCAGCACAGGTGACCATGATGGAGTCCCAGAATCGCAAAAGAGCTCCAGCATGGACCGAACGGGAGGTACGGGATCTGATCGCTGTTTGGGGAGAGGAATCCGTGCTATCAGAACTCCGTTCCAGTTTTCGAAATGCCAAAACCTTTGTGAAAATCTCCCAGGGCATGAAGGACAGAGGCCATAACAGGGACCCGAAGCAGTGCCGCGTGAAACTGAAGGAGCTGAGGCAAGCCTACCAGAAAACCAGAGAGGCGAACGGCCGCTCCGGGTCGGAGCCCCAAACATGCCGCTTCTATGATGAGCTGCATGCCATTTTAGGGGGTTCAGCCGCCACTACCCCAGCCGTGTTGTTTGACTCCTTCAATGGAGATGGAGGCAATACGGAAGCAGGTTTTGAGGACGAAGAAGATGATGATGATGAGGTTGTAGATAGCTCACAGCAAGCAAGCAGAGAAACCGGTTTTCCCGACAGCCAGGAACTGTTTCTCACCCTGGACCTGGAGCCAGTACCCCCCGAACCGACCCAAGGCTGCCTCCTGGACCCAGCAGGCGGAGAAGGGACCTCTGGTGAGTGTACCTTTTAAAATACTATACATGGTTTAAAAGCAAGCATGTGAAAGGATTACTTTGCCCTCGCGGTTCTCCTAGATGTAGTCCTAAAGCCTTTGCAAAAGGTTTCTGGGGAGGGCAGCCTTATTGCGTCCTTCATGGTAGGACACTTTACCACTCCAGGCTAGTAACACGTACTCAGGAATCATTGTGGAACAAAGCATTGCAGTGTATGTTTGCTGGCATTCAAACAACATCCGTTCTTTATCTCTCTGTGTTATCCTCAGGAGAGTGAGATATAATTCATGGTCACCTGGTTGAAATAGAGTGCTTTTCTTCAGGGGACACTCAGAGGAGCCCATTCCTGCTGGGCTGTTTGCCTGTGGCTAAACAGAAATGTTCCCTGCTGTTAGCCACAGGGAGGGGGGAAGGTTGAGGGGGTAGCCACGCGGTGGGGGGAGGCAAAATGCGACCTTGTAACGAAAGCACATGTGCTATGTATGTAATGTTAACAGCAAGGATTACCCTGAAAGAGTGTAGCCACTGTTTTATAAAATGTGTCTTTTTAAATACCGCTGTCTCTTTTTTTTCTCCACCAGCTGCATATGTTTCAATGATCACAGGATCTTCTCCTTCCAAGAGGATAGTGAAGCTTAGAAAGAAAAAAAAACGCACTCGCGATGGAGTGTTCTCTGAGCTCATGCTGTCTTCCCACACTGACAGAGCACAGACGAATGCGTGGAGGCAAATAATGTCAGAGTGCAGGAAAGCACAATATGACCAGGAGGAGAGGTGGCAGGCTGAAGAGAGTAAATGGCGGGCTGAAGAGAGGGCTGAAGCTCAAATGTGGCGGCAGCATGATGAGAGGAGGCAGGATTCAATGCTGAGGCTGCTGCAGGACCAAACCAGTATGCTCCAGTGTATGGTTGAGCTGCAGCAAAGGCAGCTGGAGCACAGACTGCCACTGCAGCCCCTCTGTAACCAACCGCCCTCCTCCCCAAGTTCCATAGCCTCTACACCCAGACGCCCAAGAACACGGTGGGGGGGCCTCCGGCCAACCAGCCACTCCTCCACAGAGGATTGCCCAAAAAAAAGAAGGCTGTCATTCAATAAATTTTAAAGTTGTAAACTTTTAAAGTGCTGTGCTTAAAGTGCTGTGTGGCATTTTCCTTCCCTCCTCCACCACCCCTCCTGGGCTACCTTGGTAGTCATCCCCCTATTTGTGTGATGAATGAATAAAGAATGCATGAATGTGAAGCAACAATGACTTTATTGCCTCTGCAAGCGGTGATTGAAGGGAGGAGGGGCGGGTGGTTAGCTTACAGGGAAGTAGAGTGAACCAAGGGGCGGGGGGTTTCATCAAGGAGAAACAAACAGAACTTTCACACCGTAGCCTGGCCAGTCATGAAACTGGTTTTCAAAGTTTCTCTGATGCGTACCGCGCCCTCCTGTGCTCTTCTAACCGCCCTGGTGTCTGGCTGCACGTAACCAGCAGCCAGGCGATTTGCCTCAACCTCCCACCCCGCCATAAATGTCTCCCCCTTACTCTCACAGATATTGTGGAGCACACAGCAAGCAGTAATAACAGTGGGAATATTGGTTTCGCTGAGGTCTAAGCGAGTCAGTAAACTGCGCCAGCGCGCCTTTAAACGTCCAAATGCACATTCTACCACCATTCTGCACTTGCTCAGCCTGTAGTTGAACAGCTCCTGACTACTGTCCAGGCTGCCTGTGTACGGCTTCATGAGCCATGGCATTAAGGGGTAGGCTGGGTCCCCAAGGATACATATAGGCATTTCAACATCCCCAACAGTTATTTTCTGGTCTGGGAATAAAGTCCCTTCCTGCAGCTTTTGAAACAGACCAGAGTTCCTGAAGATGCGAGCATCATGCACCTTTCCCGGCCATCCCACGTTGATGTTGGTGAAACGTCCCTTGTGATCCACCAGAGCTTGCAGCACGATCGAAAAGTACCCCTTGCGGTTTATGTACTCGGCGGCTTGGTGCTCCGGTGCCAAGATAGGGATATGGGTTCCGTCTATGGCCCCACCACAGTTAGGGAATCCCATTGCAGCAAAGCCATCCACTATGACCTGCACATTTCCCAGGGTCACTACCCTTGATATCAGCAGATCTTTGATTGCATCACAGCAGCCCCCACAGTAGATTTGCCCACTCCAAATTGATTCCCAACTGACCGGTAGCTGTCTGGCGTTGCAAGCTTCCACAGGGCTATCGCCACTCGCTTCTCAACTGTGAGGGCTGCTCTCATCTTGGTATTCATGCGCCTCAGAGCAGGGGAAAGCAAGTCACAAAGTTCCATGAAAGTGCCCTTACGCATGCGAAAGTTTCGCAGCCACTGGGAATCGTCCCAGACCTGCAACACTATGCGGTCCCACCAGTCTGTGCTTGTTTCCCGAGCCCAGAATCGGCGTTCCACAGCATGAACCTGCCCCATTAGCACCATGATGCATGCATTGGCAGGGCCCATGCTTTCAGAGAAATCTGTGTCCATGTCCTGATCACTCACGTGACCGCGCTGACGTCGCCTCCTCGCCCGGTATCGCTTTGCCAGGTTCCGGTGCTGCATATACTGCTGGATAATGCGTGTGGTGTTTAATGTGCTCCTAATTGCCAAAGTGAGCTGAGCGGCCTCCATGCTTGCCTTGGTATGGTGTCCGCACAGAAAAAAGGCGCGGAACGATTGTCTGCCGTTGCTCTGACGGAGGGAGGGGCGACTGACGACACGGCTTACAGGGTTGGCTTCAGGGAGCTAAAATCAACAAAGGGGGTGTCTTTACATCAAGGAGTATTTCAGGCAGGACTTCACGGAGGGTTCCAATAAGAAATGGTGCACCTAAGTTATTGTTCTTACTGGAACAAGGAGGTTAGCCTGGCCTCTGATTGATACATGGCTAGATTTACCTCGCTGCACCTTCTCTGTGAGTGACTGCAGTGTGACCTAGAGGAATGAGTCCCCTAGACAGGGGAGGAGGCAAATGAGTACAAAACAAATCTGGTCTATTTCTTGTTTTGATCCACTCCATCTATCTTTTACATCTTTGGCTGGCAGCAGACGGTGCAGAAGGACTGCATGCCATTCACATCTCATGGCTGCTCGGCAGAAGATGGTACAGTACGACTGCTAGCCATCCTCATCTCTTGCCTGCCTGGCAGAAGATGGTACAATACGACTGCTAGCAATCCTCATCTCTTGCCTGCCCGGCAGAAGATGGTACAATACAACTGCTAGCAATCCTCATCTCTTGCCTGCCCGGCAGAAGATGGTACAGTACGACTGCTAGCAATCCGTATCGCCTGCCTGCTCACCATAAGACGGTTCAATGGGACTGACTGAAGGACTAAAGAGAATGACCTGGTCAAGTCACTCTAAATTAAGTCCCTGCGCCCATGTCTGTCCAGGCGCTCCCAGCCGACGTGGCCAGGAGCACTTCGGACAGGACGATGACGGCTACCAGTCATATTGCACCGTCTGCTGCCACAAGGCAAGGGGTTGCTGCTACTGTGTAGCAAAGCCGTACCGCATCTGCCAACACCCAGGAGACATAGGGTGACGGTTACCTGAGCGGGCTCCATGCTTGCCGTGGTATGGCGTCTGCACAGGTAACTCCGGAAAAAAGGCGCGAAACGATTGTCTGCCCTTGCTTTCACGGAGGGAGGAAGGGAATGGGGGCCTGACGATATGTACCCAGAACCACCCACGACAATGTTTTAGCCCCATCAGGCATTGGGATCTCAACCCAGAATTCCAATGGGCAGCGGAGACTGCGGGAACTGTGGGATAGCTATCCACAGTGCAACGCTCCGGAAGTCGACTCTAGCCTCGGTGCTGTGGAAGCACTCCGCCGAGTTAATACACTTAATGCACTTAGAGCATTTTCTGTGGGGGGACACACACTCGAATATATAAAACCGATTTCTAAAAAACCAACTTCTATAAATTCGACCTTATTCTGTAGTGTAGACATACCCTGAGGAAATGAGAACTACATTCAATGGCTATAGGAAGCAGAAAATGTTTAGTGGGACTAGTATGAGTGAAATAGTGATATGTTTATCAGCTAGTATGAGAAATTGGCATTAGGGAAATGTACTGAAGTATCAACTCATTTTAAGGCATCTTTATGAAAGCCAGTGCCTTAGATGCAGCCATTAGCTTGTTAGTCTAAAGTTTAAATGTTAATTTTGAATCCCATGTTAAAATGAAATGTGCAGACTGGTTTCAATGAATCCCTGGATTCCAAGTCTGGATTTCTTGGCCTAAAATCTGCTGCTGGCAAGGGACATGTTATGAACAAGGGATCAAGCAGGTCTGACTGTTTCAAGGGTCTACACTAGCTGATTGCAGAAATGTGAAGTCTTACGAAGTAGGAGCAGAGACAGGGTATTTGAATTTATGCCCTTTGGCCCCACCTCCTGAGCTCCTTCAGTGATTAGCACTGGAACAGGAAGAATAAAGCTGGCCTGGCAGCATCCTCACTAGAGATCTTGTGGGACGTTTGTCATTTTGTGTCATGAGGATTTTTAACAAATAGACGTCTTTTCCTTCTGGGACTGCTTCTTTGCTCCTGCCCTTCTTCATGCTCCCTGGCATTCCTTCCTCTGGCTAGGAGGGTTGCATTGGTTAGATTGGTCGGCATGGAACGCTAGAAGGGGATCAATCCCCTTTGAAACAATATCTCAGGACTTATCTTGACATTCCTTTTATTTAAAAAGCCTACATTTTAAAGGGCAGCTCACTTCATCTTTTCCTGAGGCTAAGGGTCTCAGCTCTGCAGTTCAACTCCAGGTCTTGGCGGTAGGATATTCAGCCTCCGCTAAGTCAGGTTTGTTTTTATGTCCCACCAGCTTTGCCCAAGTCCAACTCTAACCTGTCCATGCTTCTCAGAAACGTGCATAGTTATGGACAACTAAGCACACGCTGGCTGGTTTTCAAAGCTGCTGAGCACCTCTGAAAAATCAGGCCACAGATCACTTAAATATCTTGGGCTAGCCACCTGCCTCAAATCTTGGCTACTGCTCTCTAATATGTTACCAAAGTCACAGATTGTTTTGGGTTTGCCTCCCATGATTCCTGCATCTTTCCCACAATAAAGCGCACTAAGCTTGTGGCTGTGATTAGCTGCTGTGATCCAGTCTGCAGAGGGAACAGCCTAGTAGAAACATATGCTACATCATGCAGCAAGTGTGTGATAACTCTGCACATTCAGCATTATGTTTGCTTTGATGCTGTCCCAGATTCACTTCTGGGTTTATGTATACCATGGCGGTGGCTTCTGGCAAGCCCAAGAGGACAGGTTGTCATAATGGAAAGCTGCCACAACATTCCTCCCCCACCCCTCTCCCGCCCTTGGAGGGGTTTTGTAGGAGGATAAATTGGCCTGGGAGGGTGCATGGCTGGAGGATGTGCTAATACAATTCCTTGAGCAGCCTCCACTGCAGGGCTGCTGTGGTGTCTTCAAATTAAAGATCCTTCCTGCCTACCCTCCGCTGGGGTGAATTTTACTCTGTGGATCATGGGGGTCCACCTTGGGTACAGGGAGGTATAATTTATACCTCCCCTGCACTTGCTTGGGTGGATCTAGTGCCGACCGTGAAATCATCTGTTATGTAATGAAATCTTGTACATTTCCAGTTGAGTGGTCCCTTTAATTCCTAACCATTTCCTAGGACTGATTTCAATAACTTACAGAAAACATTCTTTAATGAGTGGGATTTATTTGAGTGCAGAAATGAAACCTTATCTGTAGCCTGAGATCTTGAAGCTGTGTGAGTCTTGGGCTAGGTTTTCTGCCATGGGCAGGTGCCTGTGTGCAAAAGGAAGCTTTGCGTGACAGAGTCGTCTTGGTACATGCACAATGTGCCTCAGATGGAATGTGACCAGGATTCATCATCAAATTTGGTCCAGTAGTTGGATCATTAGCTTCCCAGCCTGGGCTGGGTACTGACAGGGAGTGCGACATGAACGCTGATCCATGCCCCCTGTGACAGAGTGGAGAACTTTATCAGCTATTGAGCTGGGTTAGATTCCTGGGGTTGCACTGCCACCTAGTGTTGCATACAGCATAAACCAATCCTTTTAAAATTCAAATCCAAGTATCAGTTCATTTATAACTTTCTTTTAATTTCAGATAGAGAATCAATATTTTTCAACAGCCACAATGTGTCGAAGCCAGAATCCTCCTCTGTCTTAACAGCAGTAAGTACTCCAGGTCTTTTTTTT